ATTGTAATAATTTCCATTTTAATTCTTGTATAAAACTACCAAGCAATGAAGGGAATTATCCAAAGATTCTAATGGTGGCTAAAATAGGAATAACGCAGAAACTCTCCTATGCAAGTAGATGTCTAAGTACACATAATAGCAATTTTGGGATGGAGGAACTATTATTACATTGCATGTGGATGCCACCTAGTTATAACTCTGGAGAATTACACTATATAATTTTCCAAGGCATATGTGGTTACAAACACACACTCAGTGGTATTCACTCAGAATTATTCATCAATGCTGAACAATAGAAGAAGCAGTATATAATTTCTTGAGGTGCATTCTGAATATAACAATAAAGATGTATATTTGGCATGCATGAGGAAATCATTACATTTGCTCTTGTAGTAACAATACAATTACAGGCATAGTTCCTCTTGTTCTGTACAAACCCAGCGGGAATTTTGTTTTGTTCCCCACTGTACAATTGTTCTTGAAAAAGAAGACTGCTGCTCTTTTGTGCTCTTGTCACTTGGCAACAAGCTCCAGCAACAATATATAAAAGAAACTTATCTCACACTATCAACTTGAACACTGCCTCATGAAAAGTGTTGACACATACATGAAGTGATCTTTCTGGCATGTGTTAACTGTTGAGCAAAGTGTCTCGCTTTGCTTTCAGAAAACTGCACAACTCTTAATAAAAATTAATTTCTGTGACTAAAGAGGCACTACAGCCAGAAATATTTGTTTTAAATAATTGATCACAATGCTTTAACTCTTAAAGTTCTGCAATTTGGGTATGTGATATTGCTTTAATACTGTATTCCAAGACATATGAGCCTCAACATAAAAATTAAATGTAAGAAAGCCATCCTACTCTCCCTTCATCAGCATAGAATTAGTCTCTTGTTTAATCATTTTCTTTAGTATTAAGCAAAATAACTGGGAGTTGGAAGATTGCAACTTTTCCAGCTCTTTTGCCATCCCCCACCTTCCGAAAAAAAAGTGCCATTTTCCTGATATTTTAAACGAGTCACTTGATAGATTACAAACACTATTTGGATCTTTGAATTACTATAATTGCTTCCTCATACACATAAAAATTACAGTATTCTATAGCCTTAATTTAATATTCATTATTGCTGGTGTTCAACTGGTGCAAATGGATATTATTCATAGATTCCCTTGTATTTAAATAGCCATTTACTCGGCTGAATAAGAAGCAAAAGGTATTGAGTAGCCTCCAATTATCAAAAATAATGAATAGAGAAAATGTATTAATTATTGAAACACTTTTACCTTGTGCAATCAGGCACTGGTGTTAACTGTTATGTGCATCACCATAAGGTGGCACTAAAGCAGCATAATGACAACTGATCCTCTAGTTTTGAAACATCATAAACCTACAGAGCAAGAGTAAAGCAACTCCAAATCTTCCAAATGATCTTCCAAAAGATCATTTTTTGACAGCTGAGGGTATTTTCCCACAAAAAGGTAAGAATATAGTTTACTTTAATTAGTTAATTCTTAATTGTGAGGTATAGTTGGAAATCACATTTTAAGTTGAGTCATGTTCTTGCCTTAAATTCTGCACAGAATATTGGATGTTTAATGTCCATTGAAGGTTTTGTGCTAAAGCACCAATCTCTAAATACTATCTCAAATGTGGTGTCAAAGGTCAGACTTGGCACATTTAGAAATCACTGGAAACTTAAACTTCAAGTTCCCTTTTTTCAACCCCAAATTGATTGTGTTCTTCTATAATTGTGCCGCTATATATACATGTTCTTCTGCTGAAGTTTCATTGTTGGCATGATTCTCCCTATATGCCTGATAATATAATAATAATCCTTGCAGTTGATATAATGTTTTAACACATCTTTGAGACGTTTCAAAGCGCTTCACGGAGTATACTGTAAAGTGAATTGAACCATATATTTTGTGGCATTAACATTAAACAACATAGTATGGCTTTTATTTAAACAAAAGAAACTAATGCTAAAGCAAAGTGGACATTACTCAACCGAGAGCCTGAGCAATCTTATCCTTTCCTAACACTTACACATAAACCAAACACTGATTCCTCAGCAGCATTCATGATAGCGATCAGAAACGGAAACTCTTGACTGATTTTTGCCTCTCAATCCAGATTACTGAGGCCAATTTCAATGCCCTCAATGTCACCTTGGCACAGATGAGTTAACTCAGCATGGACCAGGTATTGAACCAAAATAATTCCCTGTCTGTATCACTCAACCATCAACAAAATTACTATTGGCGTCTTTTAAATCTGAAAAGCTATTTGCTTTATTGCATCTTTATTAACATATTATCAGTAATTTATAGCCTTGGGTGTAATTTAAATTAATGCATTTTGATTCAAATGACAGAGCAGATGGACAAAAGATATTAATTTAAATCTTTTTTTAGTTGAAAGAACATTGTAGATTTTATCTTTTCTGATTCACTAATTGTTTTCCTGGTACACCCTACAATCAATTCCAAATATCCAATAAATTAATGCAGACAAACCGAATCTTTGCATCTAGTGAGTTTTACTTTGGTATTACCAAGCAATGTTTTGCATGCAATTTTTGATCAAGATCAGTGTGATTAGTACACATTTCCCAAATGTGCCAATTCATGTAATAGCTACAGTAGTTTACGAAAACATTGTTTTTAGAAAGGAAATCTTGCAGGCTAGATGCAAATGGTGTAGAAAGTTCATTTATGCCATTACTTACACTAGGTCAGCTTTGCTTTGCTCTGTCTTGATATGTGTTGACAGATAGGCTACCGAAGTATGTGTACTGAATAAAAGCTGAGCTGGTGTGCAAAACAACTAATACGATTCAAAACTCAAACGTTGCAAGTAATTTGACCAAGGATCCATCTATATGGTCAATGTATCTCAATCTAGGTAAAGGATAAAAGGTATATAGCTATCTATATACAATTGTCTTGTTGAGTGCTTGAGTAAATAACCACTAATTCCAACATACATAGGCGCAATCAGGGTACACTGTTCTTTGCCTATCTCTGCACATTGACATTTTTTGAATAATGTAGTATTCAAATATTTCCAGAAGCACATCAACCATGCCATGAAATTTGCATATCTTGGTTAAACCATGTTTTTAGCTTCAGCCAGAAAATTACTAAGCCTTCCATTCCATCTCTGTTTAGTGTACGTTTAGCTCTCCTAACCTATACTGCTATTTTTCACTTCTAATCTGTCAAACTACCAGACATCCTTTTCTATTTGTTCAAACTAGTGGAGTAAGTCCACAAATTAATGATTACCTTTGAGAATAATTTCCTTTTCTTGTCCAGATTTTTTAAGTTTTCAGATCAGTGAGTTATGTATTACAATCAGTCTTAAAATTTGCTCCAGTTGCCCAATTTTTATATAAAAAAAGCTGATGGATTGCACCTTGCCAATTCAGTCACAGATTACTCAGGCATATGGTGTTTTGGTTATGTGTCATTATCTTGATATTCAAATTCATTCATATTTTGTAGGGTTTTTTTTAAAAAAAGAAAACGTTGTAGAGCGAAAGCCACGGTTGGAAAATTTTCTTTCCAACACAACACTATGGATTTATTAACAGTGCAGGGGGGGGGGAGGGGGCTTTGAAAGGTCGATGTTAGCTTTCAGATACTCTGAGTCTAGTTATAAATCTGAATGATTTAACAAGGATGTGGACTAGTATTGGATAACGAACATTGAAATAAAATACTGAGGTTAGAGGGCATATTGGACTGTTTGTTTTACCAATCCTCTCTTTCCAGCTTGATCCTTGTAAATCCCTCCACTGAGTATCCCCCCCCACCCCCCACCCTTTGCATTTCAACTAAATAAAGGTAGGGTGGGTTTCACTGAGGTGGTCTCCTGTTTGAACTTGGAGCATTCTGTAGCATCTTCTCGAAATGTGACAGTTAACATGTTTCTGCTACAATGGTTAATCCAAGCAGTAGATATTAGATATTAGATTATTAGATAGCAATGCAAAATGTTTGTTTTGGGAGACTTGAGGGCAGGACACACGAAGCATTTCTCTAAAGGTCTCCTTTCACCAACCCAATCAGAACAATATCAGAGCACTGTGTTACCAGTGTACCAATACAGTGGATTATTTATGCCAATCACTGCACTCCCAGAGTCCACTCTATTCGCCATCTGTTTCAATGCTGCTTTATTTTTATTTTTTTAAAACAGTCCTGGGTCTTTCTTTCCTCTCCCATTCCCACCCAACCACCCCTCCAAAAAAAAAAAAAAAAAAAATACTAATAAATAAATTAGTGCTCCCTTCCCGTTGGCTTTGTTCCAATGCCAATTCAAATGCAGAATCGTTCTGGAATAATTTAACGACGCTCTGGAAATCCTAATCCCAACCCGTGCATTGCAAAACTTCATTTAAATCGCCTTTTATCCGTAACCCTCACCCACAGCAGTCGGGAGCAACTCCCACTGCCACCAGTCATTTGCAGACCAAACCTCAAGCAACTGGAGCTCACGTTTCAAACGCAACACAGCTCGTTTGAGTGCACATTTTTAGTGAAATGTTCCTAAATAATGCACATCTCTCTCCTTCCCCCCCCCCCCCCACACACACACACATCTCTTGCAAATTCTCACATCACCTGCCTGCACCACGTCCTTATTCCTAGACAAATATAGGAGGATTTATTATATATATATATGTGTGTGTGTATATATATATTATAAATATATATATATTGCACAACACGTGCAACATATACAAACACAACACATATATATATATACACACACACAATACATGCACACACATATATACACACACAACACATACAAACACACACAATCACAACACAATACACACACACAACACACATACAAACACACACAACACACATACAAACATACAAACACACACAATCACAACACACACACAACACACATATAAACACACACAATCACAACACACACAACACACAGTCCCCCCCCCCCCCCCCCCCCAGAGGTATACCTTGGATGGGTAGAATCCGAAGAGCAGGAGAGGAAGGAGAATGCTGAAGAGGTTGGACAGCGCCCGCATCCTGAGCTGCGATCAGTCGGTGCACATCCGTCACAGCCACAGTTTGGAGTCTTCGCTCAAGTCGCTTTCACTGCAGCGAAACCCTCGTCGATTTCAAAACTCCGCCACAGCCAAAGCCCTCGGAGCCCCCAAAGCGATCTCCAAACCACAGCATCCACCGTCCAGATCCTATCCCCTCACACGCAGCATCTTCACCAACTTTCCCTGGACCACTGAGCTCGCATCACCATCATCATCATCATCCCCCCACACACCCCCACACACCCCCACACACCACCTGAACCTCGATCGTTATCCGAGAAAAAGTTTTTTTTTTTTTTATATGTATGTATAAACCCCCAAGAGGAGGAGGAGGAGGAGGAGAAGTCAGGGGGTGGGTGGGGAATGGAAGAAAAGGACAGGGTTGATTGCAAACGAGGTATTGGGACCTGGGCAACGGATGTGACATCAGCAAATAGCAGGTCTGCAGAGGGTTTTAGTAAATGGGTAATATAATGGTTTGTCAATTTTTTCAGCCAATAATACTTCCAACCATTCAACTCCGACTTGGACAGAACCCTACCTATTATATATACATTTATTATATATATGTATGTATATTTCTGCATGCACCTTTTTTTTAAAAAAAAATGCACCCTGATTGCACAGTACTTTCTTTTTGCAATGCTGGGCTTGAATTATATTCTTAACTGCTGCTCCTCTCATTCGTGTTCTCTTTGCCAAACGTTTGCTGATTCCCGACGTGCAATACCGAAAGCGCTTTTGGATGGTCTATAAATATTGTAGACTTCTGAACGTTGTTGCCAGGAGCGTTTTGCCTCTTAATGATGGACGAGCAAAAAGTTTATTTTCTTTAAAAAAAAAATTGCTTTTCAAAATTCTGTCAAGGCAAAACACACTGCCGGAAGATTCGTACCTTAGTCACGTTTCTCGCCTTGTGTTCTGTTGCTCTTGAGTTCATAACTTATTTAATTTCTGATTCAGAAAAATCTCAAGTCCAGCTGATTTCACTCGGGTAAGTGAAACCACAACTACAATGATACAGTAAGGGAGAGATGCACATGATGCTTGGAATACAAATTAAAGCTCACTGAATGCCAAGAAAAGACTAATTGTTTTACCAATATAGAAAATTCTGCCAAGGTAATGGCTGAACTCTATTCTATTGGCTGTAATAGTCACCCAGGAGAAGTTGAATTTCCTGGTATATTTTGATTATCATCACAAATGGAAACTTTGGGGCATAAAGCTGCAGTATATACAATGGTGAGGTATCATCATATAAGAAAAATAGAATTTGCTGGGAAAATTTGAACAGCTACTTTCTTTCTTGGATGCATTGAATAGTAACTGATTATTCCTGCTATGATATTGAAGTAAGTCATTGTGTTGTTTTGATGTGTTCATGTCATCCTTTTTATTTTTAGCTTTAGGAAAAAGTTTCCCTTTATGGTGATGTTCAGCCACCAGGAGATGCAGCCAATGTATATTTCCTGTCTGGTGGGATGTTTGTTTGCATTTGCCATGTTCATTTAGAATACCCCCTTTTCTCTATTCAGTTGAAATCTGGTATTTCATTTTGGATAATGCTCTAATTAATCATTGTTGGTTTGCAAATTATGCATCGATTGATCTTGCATTTTTTTTTAGACAGAATTGATGGTTTTGGTTAATTCACCCACTATCTCATTTTGTGCTCCCTCCATTTTATTTTCATAAGTACATAGGACTGTTTGAAAGTTTATATTTAAAAAAAATCACCAGGTTTGAGGTTATAGACTACAGAATGACAACCATGTTTAAATTGCATAGTATTAAGATTCCCTGTTGCATCTAAGGAAATTAGTTTACCTATTCATAAATTCAAGGAATGAGTATTTTACCTCTGGGATTGGGTTTCAATCAGTACACACAGATGGTATGGTGACAGTGCCTTAAATAAGCTATGCTAAGATGGTTTCATCTTGGTTCCCAGTGGAGATGAATGTAGGATTGTTACTTTTCTCAGTACTATCATCGTTCTTGTAAAACCATTGAATCTAAATAATAGGTGAAAGGATGAATAAGCATTTAACTAATGATTTATGTTGGCCATCTTGAATCCCTTAACTTGGATCAAATATTCAACTCAAACAAAGCTAACCAGTAAAGCAATAAAATTGAGGTGTAGCATACAATTGGTTGGAAGTTTACAAATTTAAACTGATTTAAGTAGATCACAGAGAGTTGTGGGTGAAAACTATTTCATTTGTCTAGAACACTCACCTTACCACCTTCCTATTATAGGATCACACTGTAAGATTATATGATCAAACTGTAAACTGAGCATAGAATCGTGGCTTCTACTTTTCTTCCTGGAAATTGAATCCAGCTGTCAATTTACATTCTGTGTAAAGAAATATTTCCTGATGTCTTTCCTAAAATTTCACTTCCTTGAAGCTGTGCTATCTTGCCCTGTTGCCTTATAATATCTGAAAGTATTGCTCTGGGTTCACTTTCTCTATCCCTTTTATATAGGTCTCAATAAGACTCTCTCTGAGATCTTATTTCAAAGTTGAAGAGCTCTACCTTATCTGATTGTACTTCACTGCTCATCTTTCTTATACCAAATTATTTTCATTGCTCCTTTGGCCTGGGGAGCTCTCCTAAGCCACAATGACCAGAACTGCGCACAATATACAACGTGTGGTTAAAGTAGCTTGAGCATGACTTGTGGAGCTCTAAAATAAGCTGATTTGGCAATGCAGTTAAGTAGCCCATTTGTCCTGTTTGTTGCTACTTCACACTGTTTAGACATGGTGAATTAACTAATACTCTTAGGACTCTTTCACTTTCCTGCTTTTTTGTAAATTCTAGCCAACTCAAACAAATACTGCACAGGGAAATGTTTGCAGTTATTGGTTTGTATATTTCTGGAGAGTCGCTGATTCACTAGATCAATGAAATGCTACAAATTTTGCTTTTCAACAATCAGTATATTGTATCAATGTTTTAATTAGAGAAAACTTGATTCTCAATTTCAAGTCCAGTATGAAAACACAAAGCCAATGTAAACAATCATTGTTCACTTTGCAGGCCTGTTTTATCTAGTGAATGCTTGCAAATCATTTCCCTTAGTATGAATGTCGTAAATCACCATCAATAGTTGTACAATAATGGAAACCATTAGCTTGTTTTGCCATTATAAAACATACTTTTTTCTCTCTATAAGTTATGCTTTACACAGTTTTTAATAATTTATTGGTTTGAGTGAAGGCGGTGGTTTCCACTATGAATCAAAGGAGAATTGAAGGATTCCATCTGCTTGCCTTGAAAGTACTAATGGGGGGAGGGGGAAGACAGGCATCATTGGCATTTGGTTCATTTAGCAATGTTACCACATTGTACAGTGCAAATAAAATCAATCTAGCGATGTCAGTCCCTACTCTAATGTTCTGGTTAAGCAAGTGCATGGATGTGGTACATTGCCAGTTAAAATGTTTACCTTTTGAGTCCACATGTGTTTACCCCTATTGGCAGGTGCTGTTAATCATTCTGTGTTGATGCAGAGGTGCGATTATTTAATCTGCACAAGTGGCTTGGGAATTTCTCCCTGAACAGAAGAAATGATAGTTTCTGAATACAATACTTTACAAAAAGCATCATTTGTCAGATAATGACCATTGTAGATGTTATTAGAATATTAAATGATTGGGTCCTACATAGTAAGAAGCACTCTCTCGTTACAGCAACAACTTGCCTTTATATAGCACCCTTTACGTGGTTAGAGTCTCAGAGTACTTAAGTAACAACAATGTAAACAGCTTACCCTGGTTTATACATTCACAAACCTTGACTTAGCTGGATTTCATTATTTATATAATTCTAGGTGTCCCTTTTGTAGTTTTTCTTTAAAGAATTCCATTGATATGTTGGGTAAAAAAATTATGCCCAATACTTATGGGACCAAGGAGTTCTAGAAAAACAGGGTCATTGGCTTAGGTAGACCAGCCATAGAAAACATTAGCTGTTAGGGCAGAGGCTGAGTACTCTCCTAAATCTTCAAAGCCTCTCAACTATCTACAAGGTTCAAGCCAGGAGTATGATGGAATACTCGCCTGGATGGGCCCAGCCAAACAACACTTAAAGTTTGATACCGTCCAGGAGAAAATAATTCACTTGATCAGCATGGCAGTCAATCAAATCGGGATTCACTCCTTCTGTCATTGCTGCACTGTGACTGCAGTGTGCTATCTACTGAATGCACTGCAGCAACTCATCAACCTTGCTTTGACAGCACCTCCCTGCCCTGCAACCTCCACCATCCAGACGATCAAGAACGATGGCATCGTGGGAACATCACCACCCCACAAGTTGCCTTTCAAGGCACTCATCTTCCTGACTTTGATGTTCCTTCATCATTGTTTGATTTAAAAAAAACATTTTTTCAAAACTCCAAGACCAAGGTGGATAGATATTTGTTCGGTCAGGGTATTAAAGGATATGGACCAAGGGTGGGTAATTGGACTTGAGGTACAGATCAGCTGTGATCTTATAGAATGGTGGAGAACAGGCTCGAGGGGCTAAATGGCTTACTCTTGTTTCTATTTACCCCACCCAAAACCATTATTTTGCCCACAAATATACAGTCAATTCACTTCAGAGCATATTCTGCAAAGCCCTTTGAGACATCTAGAAGACGTGAAAAGTGCTATTATCAAATTCAGGGATTATTATACTATTTTATTATGGGAGCACCATTGCACAAGACTATAGCGACTTATAGATCCACCACCTTCACAGAGCAACCAGGGATGGACAATCCTAGCATCACCCACATCTTGAGATGATTTGTTTTAATAAAAAAAATTCTGTTAGTCAATGAAGGTTACCCATCATTTTCCAAATGCAGTACGTTTTCCCCTCCAATTTTTTTTCATTGAAACCAGTGTTAAAACTTGATGGTTGAGGACACTGACTGGATTCTCATCAGCACAACAAATGTTGTTGCAATCTGCAGGCAACACCCTCAGAGATTAAATTACAATTGAAGATACAGGCAGGCCAGTAGTTTTGTGACTTGAAATCATAAGGGCTGTGAGAGACGGGAAAGATTATTTCAAAGATATTTAACTTATTTGCCAATGTTAATTGAACTAATGCTCACACTTTCAAACTCACTATTGTCCAATTCAACACAGTCTGCACACAATTGCATTCATTTTAAACTAAGGTACAAATGTTTGCAGGTGTAATTTTTCCAGTGTGGACATCGATCAATGC